TCGAACCAAGCAGTGGCATGTGATCGTAGTCCAAAGTAGTTACACCGCAAACTACAGGGTTTCTGTAATGGTTACACAGTTCAACCACTTTTTTTATTGGAACTGTTGGATAGATCAAATAATTTTCAATTCAACTTACTGAATAATATTGGTGCAGTCATGCTCACCACCAATGCCAACTTCTACAATTGCAACATCAACTTTTTCCTCGATAAAAACGTGAAATGCCATTACTGTGAGGAATTTGAAATATGAAGGCATCGTTACAGTTTTATTTGATTCCTAAAGAAAAAACAAAATGTTTAAAAGAACAATAGTAGCATATAAGAACTTCATAAATATGGCATATTCATTATATATTTTTTTAGCTATGCTGTGACCCACTAGGATAACAACAGATTCTCAATAGCAAAAGATACAAAGCTTTGATGACTTCGATAAATCATAAATCTTAAGTTACAAACTAGGTAGCGATTATAAAAACGATAACGACTGAATAGTGCAGCACCAGCATGGTGCTACCAGAATTCAGTACAACAACTTAGAGATAAATAATCATTTAAAAGAGACGGGCCCGAAATAGCTTTAGAATTCCACTAATCTAAATCAATTGCACTGATGTTTAAATGATCTCACAAAAACAAATACATCTACTGGTAGATAAAATACATGCACAAATGCATATAATGCATCATTTAAATTAAAGAATTTAAGTCGATATAAAAAGTATATTGTTTGCATATACCTCGACTGCTTTTTCCAATAAACTATAAATGTGTTCAAAATACTTGACAAAATCTTCCTCCGATAATGGATCACCATTGATTCTGATGCGTTCACGAACATGAACAAGATGTGGAGAACTGTAAGGGGAATGAAATTCATTATATAAAAGTGAACACGAATCTCGAATTATGCACGTAATGTAGCCACTCTTTACTTATGTCCAAACGATTATAAAGCTGACTTGATTATTTCGTGCCCAGTTTTTAAAAAACATTTACACCTTCAAAGATTTATGGAATGAGTTAAATAGAACTCTTTGGAAGCTGGTGTCATGAACTTCTTCCATTTCAATGATTTTAATCTGTTCAGTAACAATTTTATGTTGCTTTATATATATAAAAAGAAGACAAACTGGTCGAATTCAAATCTCCTTAATATTTTTATTGATTCTTTCTGTTTTCACCGCTAGAATCACACACACGATCGCACACAACTGAGAAGTCGTAACTTCATAATAATCAACCAACAGTCACTTTTATATGTGTCCCACCTGTTTTAATGATAAGCTTCACAACTAATTGCTTTATCAGTCAGTGAATGAAAAAAAAAAGCCATCGCAACATACCAAAATGAATGATAACTCCAACCTAACACCAACAGTGTAAAAAAAAATGAAGTTTTTTCCATGCAAAAATTTACTAACTCACCTATAGAAACCAGTTTTGAATCCAAACTGTCGTAGGATTGATTCAGTGAATGCACATGTCGAGCCCTTACCTTTCGTGCCGCTAACATGTATTACGTTCAATCTATCAATTTCTTCAAGCTAAAATTTCAAATTTTTAAGTTTGAAATATGTTAGCAAAGATTATTAGAAAACTGAAGAAAATTAATGTGCATTTACAGAACCTTCATTTGGAACTAATTCTTGACATCATAGACAATAGGCTAAAATGCCAAACTCGCGGTATTTAAAACAGATACAGACTGTTAAAAACATTAATTTTGGATTAAGGTATAACCTCACGAACTTATTTTCACAATCCCTTCTTCTCTTTTCCTAATAATTTGTAAAAATAGAGTAAGAAGGAAAATCGAATTAAATCTTAAGAATGATTTTCCTAACTTGCAAGGAAATTGTAAAAGTTTTAAATAATGCACAGGAACTTTACTTTAATATTGCATTTTTCAAGACACCACTTTGTTAGGTCATGATTTACATTAGACATTCGATCACACTGATTTAGCGATTTTCGGATTGTCGCTGCATTATTTTGTAAACCATTCAAACGTGCTATTGATTTCTGCAGTAAAGAAATATTAAAGGTACAGTTGTCAGTAAGAGCTCAACTTTATTCTTTAAATTTGGATTGTTCTAAGCTATAGAAAAGATATGAATATAACCAAATCCCAAAAGTGTCAGGCATCAATTTCATAAATTTTGTGTGCGATATTATCGAAAAGCTTTTAAATAACAATTACAAAACATTTGGGAAGTTTTATGAAAGATCTGGATCTGAGAAAATACCATAACAAATTTAAAGTTGAAACCGGCCCAAATTCTAGAAGTGTAAAGAAGCAAATCTTTGTAATTATAACTTACATAACTATTAACGAAGCAAATCTTTGTAATTATAACTTACATAACTTTTATTATAATCGTACTATCTCAGATCAAGTTCAAGGATACTATCGTTATGGTTCTTTAAAGCAGTGATGAAGGAAGATATTAAAAAAAAAAAACTGTAAACAGAAAACCACTTCTTAGAACAATAAAACTGCGTTTTTAAAAGTTCATGTGATTTAAAAATGAAAACTCGACTAACCTCGTACAGTGTTAGCATTTTAAAAACAGATTTTGGCGCCACAGTGCGCAATAACCGCAAAATACTTGTTGAATGTGAACGGAAGAAGCGAACCCTTCCAAGCAAAAAGTACTTGCACCAGAGGGAAAGCAATGATCTCTGCAAGCAAACCCAAGGGTGATCGTTCTTTCTACGATGCACTCCCCCTTCCTTTCTTCTTGTCTTTTTTCATTACCCAGTGGATCATACCACTTTACAATCATTATTATCTCATCATTTAAATATGAATTCTATTAAATAAAAAACAGGAGAAAGATTTTGATTTGCAATTTTTCTATGTAAATATGATGGTTTTCATTATCCACTGTCAGCTCCCTTATCACTGACCTCAGGGTTAGTGGTAACATGCTAATGACAAGTAGGAAAAAAGGATCTATATTACTCAAGAAACGAATTACTGAGCGATGATCGTTTGGTAAAATACATTTGTTTACGATATACTCCTCAAAACAAACAAAATTACAGTATGTAATTGATTAGAGGAATTAAATGAAGACTTGTTCTAGAACTAAACTAATAGAAATAATTGCCGGACAATGCAGTAAAATATTTGGCGTATATACAAAATAAAACTTTTGATTTCCTGAAAGACACTCAGTTGATTACGGTATGCTAAAATGTAAAATAAAGTCCAGCAAACATCGTCTTCTATTAAAGAGTATCAAATATTACTAAAATATATTACTTGAAATATTACTGAAAAAATTCAACACTGAAAAAATATTACTGGGAAAAAAATATAAATGACTGCCCTCGGCTATGTTGGCAAGATCATACGTCTTTAAATAAAACAAAATGCAAACTTCCGCAAGCACAGCAAATGCTGTCATTTGCACTGTTCGTAACGAATGATTTGGAAGAATAAGTGACAACAGAGTTTGAGACAGCTTGGTCTGAAACATACAGTAGAAGGTAAAATGATCAAGCATAAAATCAACAATGGGTTTGAAACAGTAGGATTCATTTGAAAGGAAGTAACTTTTGCTAACATTATATATAATGTAGCTATATAAGTTATAAAATAAGCACAACATATGAAGCAAATGCATTTTTTTTTTTTAAACTGTCTTCACTAACCAAAGATTATAAGCATAATCTCCCCACAAGGTTCATAGATAATGAAGAAAAACTGAACTGCTGTCCAAAAAAACATACGTTCACGATCGTCATTTTGAATCCTACTTCGTTCCGATCTAAATTATACTTCCAACAGATATCATTGCTCGCTTCTCTGTGCTGTAGAGAACTGTGATCTTCAAATGGTAAGAACTCTACGTATCTACTCACCCAACAACCTTCCTCATACAGTAGCAAAAAAAAAAAAAAAAAAAAAAAAAAAAAAAATGAAGAAAGCAATGATTATAATATTCGTTCCGCATGAATTCCTTATTTACAAAATAAATGCACTGTGGTTCACCAGTTCACCAGAAGAAAATTATAACAATTAATGATAACACTTGTTTCAAATCTTTTACTCAAAAACAAACCAATCATAACAAAAAACCCCCTATATCAGCAATCTTAAACTGGATTTCAATTATAAATTTAAAAAATATTTGTCTATGAGACACCGTCCCGAACCTTCAAAGATCCTTATCCCTAACAGAAGCTGAAATTTTACGCAACAAATTATTCAGTAAGACTTATAGGAGACAATAGAAAATGTACCCCTGATATTGATCAAAAGATACAGAACATGATAGAAATAGATAGAAGCAGCAGGCTTCTAAAGAATTAAAGTTATTGAAAAAACTTCGAAAACCAGGCTGGATGTAAAACACAAATGGAAACGAATTTTCTCCTAATAAAGCACGATTTTTTTAGCAAAAATAAAATTTTCTTTGTAACCAGTTACATAAAATTGGCACATCGAAATAGAGAAGTGATGAAACAGAGCAGCTAAAATTTAAAAAAAAAACGGTCAATGTCACTTTTCTTTTTCTGAACAATTCCCTTTGTTTGTTTGCAGTTTACTAAAATTTATTCTTTTAGATTCGTTCATCTTTTCTTCTAGAATAATCACGTATAATTTGTTGCTCCTTTTATAACTGTCATGATGTTCTACAATTCATCACAGCCATTAACATAAAAAAGTAGCCTGGAAACCATAAGAAATTATTTTCAAAGGCGATTCATATAAAATATCAAACAACTGAGACCAGAGTTTTTAAATAAGCAGATAATGATTCAATTAGGTAAAAAGTTTGCCTTATTTTCGAATATTCAGACATTTTCTAAACTGGTAAAAAAGTATGGTTCTATAAGCAAACAATTATTTAAAGTTAAAGTCATTTTTATTGGCACACTTCATTCAGCAACGCATTGATATGCTGATTTTTTTCCGATATCCCTGACAAAAAATTTTCCTGCACTGAAAAAAATAACTCCAAGAACAAAACTGGAATCCTTTCACTTTCTCTGGAAATACGAACTGATTTTAGCTTGTCCCTGCGGTACTTTAGCGGCGCTTCTCCGCTCCTTACTATCCAGATGTATAGCATTCTCTGTTTTACCATGTGTTTGAGTACACGTATTAGCCGATGACGGTTCAAGTTCGATTTCTTTCAACACTTGCTTTGTAACTGCAATCAGCAACAGGACTTGTTAATCGTAATTTGCATTTTTTTTAAAATATAATTTCACAATTAAACCACATTTGCATCAGACGTATTGATACAAATAATATAACCCACATCACTATTTAAATAAGGCTTACCCATGAAACCATCAACATCCAGAAAAGTTTCCGTGGCATATTCCTTTCGTATCACTTTCCTCTGGCTTCCGTAACTTTCGTTTTCCAAACTTTCACGCTTTGCTGTATTCAATACACAACTTATAAGTGAGTCGAAAAACGAAAGTTAATTTTAAAAATGATTATTAAACGTGTCACATATATCTTATCACTTAACTGAGGAAAATTTATTACTGATATCTTCAAAACATCAGCTCCATTTATTTTTAGTAAAATAATATTTACTGGAAAGAAAGCAAAAAGTATGCAGTTTCTATAAAAATCATAAAAATTCCAAGATTCAAAATAGTACTAACAAAAATGGAGCACTTTTTTTGGATCTCTTCTTTCTTTCGTAATTTCCATTTTTCTGGTTTCATCACAATTCATTCCGTCTGGGTTAGAATCGCTATCAGAAAATAAATCATCTCGGGCTAAAGTCACTCATTTATCCAATATAACTGATATCATTATTAAACTTAAACAAATTTTTTCTCTTTTATACGACCAACAACTTTACTTCACCCTTAAAAGTATGAATTTTTCGAAATAATGCTAACAAATCCAGTTTCAATCCAGTCTTTTAGCTTCAATTCTCGAAATTCAAGAATCTGATAAACGCGCCTTGCTTTCTTCACTAATCCAAATTTCATTATTTTGTCCCCTATAAAATAGAATTCTAATGTGAACTTAAGAATGTGTTCCTCGTTTCTACAACGACATGATTCTTTTTCGAAGTTGTTATTTCTCCTGACTTCGCCATGACATTTTTTATACCAGTTATTTCCGATGACTTAGGTTCTTCTTCCATATCTTCTTCTTTACTGTTAATGAAGATACGTTGTCCACGGTGCCTAAAATTTTCTTAAGCTAAAACTAGAAAATAATAACCATGATGTAAAAACGTATTTCGTCATATAAAAGAAAAAACAATGTGCCCTTTTCTCTTATTATGCAATTTTTTATGCAGTTCTTTCTACAAAAGAAAAAGTTGTATCAAAGGAACAATATATATATATATAATAATGAGAACAAAGCAATCACTAAAAATCCTTACTTTATTGCTTCGCCTGACATGATACCAGCTTTTTTGATAAAATCTTCTTGTTCCTAAAAATAGGCTATCTTTATGACAGTTAATTCAGTACCTACAAAAGCCAACAGAAATAGTATTGAACTAACGCTGCATTTTTTTTTTCATTTTTTGCCTATTTTACATAAAATCTTCTTTTCACGCTTAGAAAAATGAAAAATAAAGAAAGTTTAAAATTGAACGCACGTCTGCTGCTGAAAATTACGAAAAAATGCAACTGTCTATCAAAAAAATCACTTCTCAATAAATTAAAGTTTTTAACAAAATTTCTAATAAATTACAACTTTAAACTGCCAATTTAAACAAAACGCCGTCTAAAGTCTTGCGCTCGAACATTATTGTATTTCAGTCATCCATTATTCGACATCAAATAATCAAAGATGGAATTGTAAAAACATTCCGCATGCAAATCACGAGCTCCACCAGCATGGTTTAACGACAACTAACAGCATAATGACATAAGCAAATTAGATTTTTAGTGCGACCTTTTCCCTATGTAATCTATCGGCTGTTGCATCAAACAATGAAAGCAAATTTCCTAGTACTCAGAAAAGTGTACCTGAGATCAAAAATAATAGAATGAGAAATTCAATTTTACCGTTCCTTCTTGTTTATTTTGCTTTGCTGCTTGTTGAAACAAAGAAGTTATATTATCCTTTGCCTTTTTGGCCATCGGTTCTGGAAGCTTTGATACGGATAACTTCTGTTTCCTTTTCTGGAATTATTCTTTTCATGCACCGTATTAGTGGACAAAAATATAAAAAGACGATATAAGAAACAAGATACATAAAGACTTAAATAATTTTAAATACAATGAAAGTTCTTCCAGACAAGAAGCGTTAAACTCTACCAGTCGGATTTAAAAAATGAAGCAGTTAATGTTAAGTTAATGGTAACTATAATGAGTTACAAAAGAACTAATCAAAAGATTCCATTTTCTTCTGACTGTCGCTTACGCTTATATCTACCGCCATCCATAACTACACTCTCATGTATTTTTAGTATAGCCAACCAACCGTTGCAAAAGCCAATTAATCATCTTTTTTTCCCCTCTATGCTTTAAATGAATAACAACTCAACAATGAGCTGTTTTCTTGTGCTTATTATTATTTTTTTGTGGTTTTCATTACTCGGCATTAGCTGTTAGAAAATGCTTAAATAAGAAAAAAAAACTGGTCTCTTGCTCTTAAATAGTCAAAAATTCGAGAAAACTAAGAAAGAACTAACTTTCTGAGTTGCAGGCACAGAAATAGCGCCATAATGTGTTAAAATATCTTTTGCCTTTGCTTCTGTTTCTGGATATAATAGCCAGCTCCGTCCAGGATCAGTTCGTTCATATTCATCATCTTCCAAGCTATCTACGGAATACAACAAACAAAGACTCTGCAAAGCTTCCTACATGCACTGAAATACTAGAACTTTGCGTAATTTTATTACTTTTTTAAAATGCTTAATTGTTTGCATTTAATGCCTAGTGTTCATCTTAAGAAAAGACAAAATCCTTACAATTTAAACTTAACAAAGTAAGGAATTCATCAGTATGAGCAGGTAAATTTGAGAGAAACAAAGACAAAATAATTTTATAAAGTTTTTACTTCTTTAAATACTTGTAGTTTGGAAATTTTAAGCAGGAAAAGGGGTAAATTTCGCTGTAAACTGTACGCGACAATTTATCTTTACTATATCATACCAGAGCTATGCTGCTACTTCATATTTTTACATTGTATATATTTATCCTAATTATTTTAAATAAAAAACAACAGTGACCTTGATGGGTTTCGTGTGTAAACAATAAATTTCGCATGTTTCCACCTTTCTATAGACTTGTCGTGTTACTTCTAAATCACAATCACGAACCAATTGCGTCCGATGAATCTTACGAGTGGCTGCTATATCACTTGTAGTACAACCACTAGCAGGATTTGGTATAATGAGTTCACCACTTATAACATACACTGAATGTAATTCCGTCCTATTTTTATTCTGCTTCAGAAATTCAGCTAATTCACTGCAAAAAAAAAAACTGACAAAACTGTAAGACAATCCCGTACAATAATGCTTGATTGAAGTTACTTTGCATATGCAAAAAAAACAAACAACTTAAGGTAACAGAGCAAAAAGCGCAAGTTTGAAACACTAGTTTTCATAGGAAATGGAGAACCTGAAGTATTAGGTATAAAATAAAAGTAAAGTAACATCAAACGCGGCTCTAAGCATACTGCTGGAACTTTAATTCCACTACTTGCATATAAAAAAGGTACCCTTTTGCATCATCGACTGGTAAGTCAGCATGTCTACTTAAGTACTGCACGGTTACAATTTGCTCCAAATCAAATAGCGAAGTTTCCAGTAACTGGCGCTTATCCAAACCCATCACTAAATTTAAAACAGCTGAATGAAGATAAACGAAATGGTTAATTTTTCGACAGGAAAAATATTGACATTGAAATTCCTAATTCACCACCAAATAACATCAAATATCCTGAGTTTGTCAAGAACTCAAGACATCCCGGTGTCCTTATAGGTAGGTATACTGGCTATGTGCACACCATCTGAGTGGTCAGTGGATATTATTAGGCAAAGCAGCTGCGGAATCGGACAGCAAATTTTATCGCTTATCTTAAGCAAAACAATAAATTTTGTTATGAGAAATAAGTTGTTTCTTTTTTATCCCTACTTGTGTCTCAAAAATAAATTGCAACTTCCCTTATAACGGGAAACATTTGAAAAGAAATTTTGGGAAAGGGATAGAAGAGAGGAAAAAAGTGAAGCTAAATAATAAGCACAAGGATCCTAGGTGTGTGGTAAATCAACAGCGTACATATATACCCTATCTTTCACAAAACAATGTGGCACCATGCATTTTGAGATGCCAAATAAAATAACTGAAAAGAGTAAACATAAACATCAACAAAATTTCACTAATACAATTCACATTGGAAATAACGGACACAATAGTCACCATGAGCAAATAGAAAAAGGGAATTAAACATATTAATAAGATTATTACAATTTTATCAAGGTGATAGCAGATATGGGAAAAACAGAAAATAATAATTATGTTCGTCTCGTCTATCAAATGAGGCCGATTCCTTTGATCAATCATAAATGTGATAGAAAATACCGCATTTTTTTTTTATTTCTAGTATTTCATCACGATCTAATGGGACAATTTGAAAAGAAAAATCTTCAATCATATTTTCTATTTTGAAAAAGTGGAATTTCTTATTCCTTTCCAATTTAGTGATGCGAATTTTATGCACAGATTGATGGACAGTAAACTAGAATTCTTTTCAACAGGAATTAATTAGAAAACCGAAAACATACTTAGAAAAAAAAGCATACTAAATTTAGTTAGAAATATAGCTAGACAAAAGGAAGGACCTTGATAAAGAATTGTTGCACAGAAGTGACTACAAAGGATATTAGTGTGATCAAAAGTTAAAATTCGAATACATATAAGTAGTGCGTGATCACTAGAAGCAAACTAAAAGACATATTTCAGCAAAATAATAGACGATAATAATAATGCAAGACCATACGAGGGAAAAACATTCATTATTTTTGATATATTTCTTAAATATACTAGATGAGCTTACAAAAGCTAGTGAACTGGAAAAATCCTGGTTCAACCGAAAAAATTACTGAACATCAATAAACTCTTAATTTAAAACACTTCACAATAAAGAAAAAGCCTATGAAATCCCTTGTAATGACATGTCATATTCAAAAATGGTACTTCATACTTAATATAACTAATACTTACACTTAATTTTATAACACATGCACTTTTGTAGTCCTTCGTCCCCAATTTTATAACTTGCCACTTTTGTCTTTCACAATATACCATTACTGTAATATTGGTAATTATCATAAAGTCTTGTAGTAATAGAATCACGACTTTGTTCAACCATGGCGTCTACTAGTGTTCTCAATTGCTCTTCCGTGTAATTCATGTGAAAACGATCTTTTAGGAGACGAATCGTACTGCTGCCACCACGAAAACAGGGTAACTGTGAACCTGTAAAATATTTAAACAAAGATGTAAAATATTTAGACAAACAATTCTCTTTAAAATGATCCAAGTGCTTCTGGGATGTGTGAAAAGACAAGATAACTAATGCAGTAAAATATTACAAATGAAACCAAATTTCATGAAATAAAAAAACTTTAATGACAATAAAAAAAGAAAAAAGTAAGAAACATAGAAACGCAAACCATTAATCATTATTTCAACGATGCTGACTACTTGCTCGTAATGTTTCCTAGTTGCCAGCAAACCTTTCAGGATTAGAATTTTATAATAGCTGAACATATCGCTATCTAAACCACCCATAACATCAACTAACTCTTGTGTTAGTTTGAATGGTGAAGTTTCGAAACCCAGATTTTTCGGTGATATGGAAAGTATGTAACCGAAATCGATATGTATCAAATGTCCTTCAGAATCCAATAATATGTTACCATTGTGCCTGTAATTAAAATTTCATTAAAATGAAAAACCAAGATAATTCATCAAACTGATGAGTTTTGTTTTTCTTCCCATTTTTCAAATACCTCGCAAATACACCATAAAAATTTAAGACTTTTTGTCATATTTTGTTGCTTGGAATTTGATCTGCCATTAGATGAAAAATATTTGGCGTATGAAAAGAGGTGAATGGAAATGATTTATGCCCTACGGACACTTGGTTGCCTAACCTATAAGAAATAAATGCGCACTTCTGTCTAATTAAAGAAAAAATAAAAGTCACATAAATAGCAAAGATGTGAAACTGAAAATATATATACAATGTCTCAAGCCTCTTATCAATAAACGTATTTTCTTCTACAATTAAAATTATCTTGAAAAAAATCTAACCTGTCTTTAACTTGTAAGAAATAACAAGCAAGACTGTATCCTGCACAGCTTCGTACAAAATTCTGCTGCGCAACAAGGAATGCTTCAGAACTTGGAGGACCAAATGTTTCAAAAAAATGTGTCAGTAGCGCTGGTTGTACTGCACCGAATGTTGAACTACGAATCATCATATTTTTCTTAATCTGAAAATATTATTTAAAACTACAGCTTTTTTGAAACACTGTTTTAGTGACTGCTACTACAATTACCACTCCTAAAAGCAGTTATTTTGTTTCTAGTATTGAAAGAAAATACAAAAGATTTTCAAAACTTAGAGTTAGTAGATTAAATGAGTTAGAAATTTAAGAAAAAAGATTGCATATAACAGTAAAAATTATACCTGATGTAATGAAGAGGCATCTAATATTGGTTCAATCATTCCTGAATTTGATGAGCAAACTACTATTTTATATGGTCTCAGATATAGCGGAACTTTCTCTTCTATCCAAATATTCTAGAATCAAGAAAATAAATTACATAAAACGAAAGCAACCAAGCTTCCAGCACTATCGACATTGGTACTGGCTTTCATTTCTAATTTCGAGATAATGTTATAAAATTAACTTCAATTAAATTCAATAAAGTTTCATTCCAAATAAGCATTTTGTACGAAGACTTTTTGAAACGAAGCATTTAAAGATGACCCTAATTTGAATAATTGCTTATATAGGAGACAGAATCCTAACCAAAAGGAAATGAACGCTGTCACAAAACGTGAGATGAAAGAAAGAGAAAGCAGACAGGTCAAAAAATAAAATTCTTCATTCATTTTCGATAAAACTTTCAAGCTAAAGTTAATTGATAATAAAAAATGAAACTGAATATAAAAGCTCAATGGCATTTCACTATTAAATGTAAAATATTAAAGCAGGAATAGAAGTCAATAAAGAAAACCATTAAAAATAAATAAATGTTGAATTAAATTTAAAGTCACATTATTTTGTCAAAATAATAAAGAAAATGATGATATGTGAAAGCTGTACCCGCAAAACGGAAAGCAACTGATAAGCCAACAATTCCTGTCTCAAATCGTCACCAGTTTTCACGATTACTGGCAATAAACGCCAAAAAGGATGACGTCCATATGGCGAAGAATGCCTTATCCGTGCTACTTTTTCCTCCCAGGGTTCACTCATCGCTGATGCTGATGGATCATCAGGTGTGTCGCGTAGCTGTAAGTTATGGGTGTCAGCAAACAAGCTTATAAATCAAAATTTTTTTATTGAAATAAAACGAAATGAATATAAACCACTGAATACCAAAGAAAAAAGATAGCAAAACATTGAATAATGAACTTCAACTTTCATTAACAAAACTTTTAAATCCAATATAGAAAAAAGAAAATTTAGCGCATTATTAACTCTTTTTACTTGAGACTTTCAAGATTAATTATTAAGAAAAATATAATATAAAAGTGATACAAAAGATGATCTATTCAACAAGTCACAGGTTTTCTAATAACACTGCGTCTAAATTTCTGCATGAAACAAAATAATTCTAACATTTAACCACAAAACTTACTTGACGCTTGGGATCCTTAACCCAAAGCGAAAATCGTTTCCGAATATCAATCATATTTCCCTTTTCCTTTGACTCTGGGAAAACACCCATCAGATTATTGGATTTTATTCGGGTCTACAAAGAATTTTACTGCAGCTAAAATTGGATTATTGATGATTAACTGCTATTAACGTCTTTTTCCTTTCTTTTTTTTCACACGTCTTTTTCCTTTCTTTCGCTATTTTTTCAGCACTCATTTCAATTTGATTTAAGACTAACGAACTTTTTTTCAACGACAGAGATATAGTCCTTGAAGTTACAGCGTCATATTTAGAAAAATGCTCAGATTTTTTTTTTTTGTTTTTTGCAAAATGACCAACCATTATGTGTTATGAGCACTTACAGGGAGTACGATATCATGAATACTTTTTTTTTTGAGAAAATATAAAACAACCCACCCAAATGCATGAATACATTACTTCTAGTAACTGATGTCATGTATTGTAGTTAATGTAATAAAATTACTAAAACTAACTTCTTCATTACTTATCTTTAATTTAGTGGCTGTATCCGTCATCGAAGCAAAAATATCGCGCCCTTTGCGCTGATATTCTGCTGCTTCAATATCACTGATACGTTTGGGCACTTTCGTCTGTCGTATATCCGTTACTTCAAGCACTTCCACAAATAAACAGTATGGAGCCTAAAAATTCACATGCTTAACAAGCATCAATAAAACTGCTAGCAGTGCATAATCTTTCGTGAGAAATTTTTGTCCTTGAAGCTTAGGTGAAAGAAGTCTAAAAAAATTGGTGCAACCAAAAAACGATCTCTATGTATTCTTCATAAACTACATTCGTAATTGTCAAAATCTGATTCACCTTGTCTTTACTATTAAGTATGCATCCAGCAAGTGGTGGTATTCGAAGGACAATATGTTTCAGTGAATGTGCATAGAGCGGCAGCCATACCCG